CCAATGGGGTCTGATTTGGATTGGGAAGGGAATGCATTCCCAGGTTCTCCTGAGTGTGTTTGTAAGAGCCCTGCACAAGCCACCCTTCCCCTCTTTCCCTCCTTCCTTCCTACACCTCCATTGCATGGTCAGTAGGTCCCAGCACATCCAGTCCCCACCCCCAATTTCCCTTTCTTGACCCCACACCTTCTGGTTGCCTGGCCTACTGTTCCCAGTAGGGACAGAAACGCCCAGTCCCTGATGAACAGCAGCTGGCTGTTGTCAGATGTCAGACAAGCAGAGAAAAATGTAAAAGGCCCACAAGCAGCAATGCAGAAAGACTTAAAAACAGGAGCATTACTAAAGATCTAGTGCAGTCTGGCCAAGACACCTACATGACAACGTATCTGCTGGGCCATGTGCCCTAAAGCACCTGCAAAGAGGCTGGTATAATTGGAACACACTGCCAGATGGTAGCATGCCTGCAGTGCATGAAAATCAGTGCACAGTAATATGCGCTTTCATGGTACACTCCTCATATAGACGGGACATGGAACAAGTGAAGGCAACCACAGGAACAATGGACATATAACAATGACAAGCATTCTTACTGGAAGAGTTTTACCACTGACCGTGTTAGTTTCTGACCTAATTTTAGCCCACTTTTGTGAGGTAATGTCAGAAAATATCTCAAAGCCAGTGCTCTAATGTAGCTCTTGCGTTTCTTGACAGAGCCTATTTTCTTCTCCTGCCCAGGGAGCTGATTGGAGCAAATGGCTGGGGTGTATAGTTTGGAATTTAGAAGTTAAGCAAAATGGCTACATTTGTCTCATCCCTTGAAAGTACAGTATTAGGCTAAGAAAGGTGTGATGGCTTACTATGGACACAAACTCAAAACTACTTGGTTTGTCTTAACAGGACCTTCTACCATGGCCCCGGCTGCACAGTTCTGTTTTGGACCAAGACAACAAAGGCCAGTGTGGGCACTGGAGTTAAAACTCTCCTTTGCCATGATGCCAAGTGCTTTGAGACCACAGTCAACCATGTTGACCAATATTGTCTCACTGTTTTCTTGTGCTCCCTGTCTGTCTGTATCCACCTGTA